GGGGGGGGGGAGGGGGCGAGTTGTTTGTAGGCTCTCTCTCTCTCTCTCTCTCTCTCTCTCTGTCTCACAATTATGAAACACAAAATATTGAGAAAAATCAATGCAATTAAGATGCCAATGCAAATGATGTAAAATTTGCAGTTCAGCTTGACATATAGAACACGTTTCACTGATCCAGAAATAATAAAGGAGCTCTGCTTATGAGACAGCTGATGATACACACAAAAATTAGTTGCAAAAAACTGATAAGCTAAGAAAAACGAGAAAAAAATGCTGTGACTAAAAACATGAATTGGATTAGATGAATAAATTTTGTACGCTGCCACCCTGCAGCAATTTAATGGCACAATTACGGAAAATACAGCCATCTTATACAAGTTAGCTTTCTTTTCCCCAAAACACCTCCAACCCAAACACCTCCAACAAATTACAGTGCATGTAAAAGTCACTTCCAAAAAATATTTTTAGGAGTTAACCATTACAAGCACATAGTTGAAACTTTTCATGAGCTTTTGTTACAGTTGACTCGTCTTTGTAAATACAAGCTTTCTTAGGTGATATGGCAGAAATATTTCCGAGCCCAAAAAGTATCAAGAAAGAAAATCTCTCTCTCTCCCAACAAAAAAAATCACAAACCCTTCTGAAAACCTCTCAGAGAATCACAAACTTATCTTTCAATCCTTCGCAGCGAAATTCATTGAATTGCATCATCATGAGCATCAAGCCCCTGCCATAGATCTAAGCAGACAGAAATATAAAGCCAGATGCAATTTTCTAGTGAGGACCCGTAGTACAGGAAATTTAACCTAAATCCTCTATTTTACTCTCAAGCATACAGTCAATCGAGCCCTAGATCCATCAAATAAGTCCTTTCCGTATTTTTGAACTTCAACATCAAACGCATCATATCTAAGACACTTACTTTAATCAACATCCAAAACCTGGCCGAAAGGCCCAAAACAAAAAATCAGATATCAAACAAAACATGATACACGAATTTAGTCGCTAGGAGAAACCGAAGAGCGAAAGAGACAGATAGAAGAGAAAGGGAGAGCAATAAAACGAATGAATAAGTACTTCAAAACAGACAATTTATGGAGTAGAAGAAGAAACTCGTACCATAACTAATTAGGGTTTGATCATCTTTCAGGATTCGACCCTTGTAGATGAGGCGTTGTTGCTGTGCTGGTACGTCGGAAGTCTCAGCAACCAGGGCCTTGAACGCTGAGACACTGGAGCTCAGATCGACCTGAACAGTGAACTTGGAGCCATTCGAACATCTGATGTGAACGCTCACGATTTCATGAGAGAGATCGCTCGATTCCCCAGACTCTCCATCCGCCACCATCTTTTCCGGCCGCGAAGAGAGAGGAAAACCTGACCCTAACTCTAGAGACACAGGGAGTAGATTGATATGATCTGAGACTGAAAAAGCAGGCGTTACAGAAAGAGCGTTGGAGAGAGAGTTGTTTGCGTGATGGTCTGCTCTGGGTCCGGGTCCGGTCGGAGAATTGGGGATTATGAATTATAAAAATTTTGGCTCTGGAGATAGAGAAGAAAGAGATGAGGAGAGAGAGAGAAAGTAGAGAGAGAAGATGGAATGGAGAAGCCGAAAATAGAGAGAGAAGATCAGTATTGGCCTGTGGCCCCAACCCAAAACAACGAAGGAGCGTCTCTCTGTCCTGCAAACGATTTAACTCCAAGACAATACCCTCTCTTCTCGTCTCTCTGTCGCTTCATAATGACCCAAAAAGCCTATTCTCTCTCTTCAAAATTAGAAATGTAATTTAATACTATAATAAATATAAAATTTATTTTATTATTAGAACCTACAAATATTTTTTATATATTTAAAAAAAAATGCATTTTAAAAAAAGAAACTGTACAATGAGATAGCATTTATATTTAGTACGAGGTGTGCATCATTCATCTTAACCATTGGATGTAAAATATTGCAATTTGTATAAAGTCAAGCTCTAAAGAATCAAAGTAAAGTGTACCTTCAAATAGTGTCTAAAAATGCGGTAGGGAAAATCTTTGTCATAGCATGGAAATATATTTTTATCTTTAATTATAAAATTTAAATATTTTAAAATAGTGTAGATCGAGCAGATCTATGAAAATCTTAAAAATTGACGGTCGATAAATGTGTTACAAGATGCATTATTTTCAAAACTTTCAAATCCATTTTTTTTTTTTTCTACATCTTGATGTCAAGATGATCAATTTGAAGATATATTTGAACACTAAAACAACATCTTCTTTATAAGAGCTCCAATTTGATTGTTTAGATAAACTTATTCCTTTAGATATTGTTGATATAATGTTTACACGTTATACTATAGAATTAGGTGGTGCTATCCAAAATCACCTACATTAGATAATCTCATATTATGTGGAATTGAGATATTCTCACATTATAAAGGAAATATAAATCCAAAAAGATTATAACTCTCATACATATATTTTGGTCTTTTGAGATATATGTGACATCAATAAGAAGTTTCATATAGAATCCTAAATCTTTTGAGATATATGTAAACCATATGTGTTTGATGTTTCATTTCTCATATTTTATTTGCCAAATATTAACACATTGGGTTTAGAGCTTCTGTCCACATCAAGTGGTATCAGAGCACCTCAAAAGTCATTATTTGGACATTAGAAAGGCATCTAATTAATCATCTCAATATTTAAATATATGAATGAAAACAAATAAGATTTCAAGTCTATAAACTAGTACATATTCTTATACATTATCTGGATTGTTTATTTTCAAGAATTTCAATGTGTTTATATATATGCTCGATTTGAACCACTTTTCGAGTTGAATATTTTATAATTAGATGCAAAAATAGATTTAATGAAAAAAATGAATAATTTATCCAATAAATTAAAAAAAACTCAGATATTCATATACATTTCACAAGGATCTTTGTCATAGTCTATTTTTTTTTATACGTGATAATAAGAAGTATGTACACACAAACTAAAACTTAACACAATATAAAATAATATTATTTATTCCCTAAAACAACCTGCGATTATATCTCCCTATATCTGGCTTATCTCTTATCATGATGTCCAAACTCCAAACTCTTCTTTCTACCAACTCTCTCTAATACATTAGAAACCAAAGCTCCTTATCTAACGTAACCCAACAAGCTCCCCCTCATGAGATTAACCCAAATCTAATTATCTTCCTCTCTAATAACCCAAATTATATTTTTCACTGATCTCTTTCTAATTACCTCCAACTTCCTAGTCCGTCATTCTGCTCTATTAAATATCATACCTTTTGTAAGGTTATAAGTCTTCATATTTTTTCGAACTACTTCCAACCACATCATTTTGAACCTATTCTATCTCACAATTCGCTCCCCATATGCCTCTCTCTATATTATTTATTTTTTATCTCTTGTACTCTTTATAGAAAAAACCAAGATCAAATTCCTTGTCTCCGATAACCCAAAGTCCTATTATGCCCCTCTTTTTTATCAAAGCCTCTCTCTCTCTCTCTCCGGTATAGGCGTTGGTCAATAGAGAATATGTTGAATGAATGGTCTCCCTTTTTTATTAAAGAGTGAAGTTTCTATAAGGCTTGGGATTTATAAAACCAAAATAAAGGATCACCTCAAACCTTCATTTGAAAAGCACTTTTGGCAACAGAAATCTCTTTGATAACACTAAAATCAATTTTCAATCTCGACAATAAAATTTGACACTAAAAAACAGGTACAGATATTATGGATATATGAACGCTTGTTTTTATAGCGAAATTGATGGTTTAGATAATTTGTTACAATATACACTATTTTTAAAACTTGAAATCCTAATTTTTTTATTCGCAACCATAACATTCAAGCCGAGATGATTGATGTAAATGTCTTCCAATGCTTGAATTGTGATTTTCGATGACTTATGAAGTGGGGGCTTTACTTATTTTGATAGAGATGTAACCATATTAAAACTTTTTTTTTTTATTAAATTCAATTGTTAATCAGCAATGAGTTGTATTTCCAAGCAACTAAAATCTCAAATTTTGAATGATTTGGTTATTTGGAAGCTTTAAAATTGTTAGGGCATCCTGCTTTTGCTTTAGCCTTCTTTCCTATGTTCAGAAAACAAATAAAATCGTTTCAAAAGAGAAAGAAAAAAGATAACTTGTAGGATGTGTGAAATGTACCCTAAAAATAAAGGGATATTCTTACCTTGTAGCCATCTCTTTCTAGAACTTTCCCCGTTTAACAAAACCCTTTAAAGGTTGTAACATTTTACTCATCTATCTACCTCTCTCTAATATCTGGAGTAGATGTGTTATAAAAATAAAATAATGATAAGAAATAATAACATGCAAATAAACCTACTAACAAGTAAAACCTACCAGCCAATGTCATGTGAATATATTAGAAATAGTGATAATTGAATGTGGCTATCATAAGGCTGCAGCCATATGAAATTTGGTAAACCCACACCTTCACCATTGCTTGAAAACTTATAATGCTTTAGACATCCGTTTTGCCCTTGAATTTGGCTCCAATTATAATGTATATCAATAAAATAGATAATTTACATAAATTATTATAATATATATCATTTTCAAGACTTGAAATCCATTTTTTATTTCAAATCAATATGGGGATTTATGAGTTTACCTACATTATATTTTACAACGAGTTTGCGTGGAGCCGCGGTTTACAAAATAGTTTTCCATGTGTCTATTTCTGGAACAAAGGAGGAGGAAAACATTCTCAGGCTTTTTTATTACCGACATAGTACTTCAGTGACGTTTTGCCCCGGCAAATGTGTAACCAAACGCATTGTAAACATTTAAGGGAAGTAAGACAACTCTAGAATCCCATGTATGAAAAGTTGAAAACCTGGACAGAGCCATGGTTTTAAGCTGTGTTTTAAAACCCAATGATTTATAGGAGGAACAGATATTCGAATCAGGTTTGGTGAGTGAGAAATAGGGTTCCCACCAGGAATTGCCCAATACTGATATTGTGATAATTTATTGGAAATTTGCTTACATACCCCAAATAAGAGGCAATATTATAAAGTTATTCATATTTTGGGCCATTTTATGGTGATGTCCTAAAATTTTAAATTTTTTATTCCCATTTTAACTATGGCTTTAATGTTCAATTACTTTTTGCACTACCCAAAACACCAAAAAAAATTAAATATTTGGATGACTCAAAGTTGGAATTTCGAAATGTCCAAACACTTTTGTTTTTTTTTCTTTTATTTTATGGTTCCAACAGTTCGCCCAACCACTTATTTACTGTTTGGTATTTTAGTCGATTCAAAAGTTATAATCTCAAGTCAAGGGGTACAATAAAAATAAAAAAAGTTAGAAAATTTAGAACCTCACGATAAAAGGACCTACAATACAGACCACCTCATAATAATGCATCTTAATTTAGGTAGGTAAGTAAATTTCCCTGATGTGCTGTCAAATTCATTATGTTTTAGCTTATCCTAATCCCTAAACTGGGTTGGTACATAAGGTCGCCGATCCACGACTAGATCCCGGGTTTTAAAACAATGATCAAGAAAAAGATCGAGAGATTAAACAATTTACAATTTTAAATGGTTGGAAAAAAGCTCTAATGATGATGATGAGATCATACAATTTATACATTCAAACGTTATGGACATATCTCATAAAATATATATATATATATATATATATACTTTAATAGAAAATACATATATACTAATTAATTTTGTGAACATGTTTGGACAAGGTCATGCATAACTTCATAACGCCTCATGAAACCATCTTGCACCATTTGTAAAACATGTAGAGAGAGAGAGAGGAATTTTTTGGACCATTTGTAACACATGTGTAGAGAGAGAGAATTTTATTGGCATGGGGTAACCGTAGGGTATTAATATGTAGAAGGAAGAGAGGGATCCTAAATGGAGGGGCCCAGAGCTATAAAACTAAGCACAAAATGGGGTAGGGTACCATAGCAAGGAAGAAGGGACACAAACAATTCAAGTACGTGGTCCAGTTAAGTGAAAAGCCCTCGCCCTTTTTATTCTTAAGTCTTTTGCCATGTGCCTTGGTACTTTGTTTACTTAAGTCCAAATAATCATGAGAGAGAAAGAAGAGCCATATTGAGAGAGAGTAGTTGAAACTTAAAACCTTCAAGCATTCATTTTCTCTCTCTTGAATCTTAAAAAAAAAAAAAAGAAGCAAAAATCAAGAGTTATTCTGTAATTTACCTACACTAATCTGCCATTAAGGTTGCAACCTTACACAAACCGCACCCTACGTAAACGATGTAAGTCATTCATTCCCTATATCTACCATCAAGATGTTAAGGAAGGTGCTATAACCTTACCTTCCACTTCCTAAACCTATTTCCATCAAATAAGTTAAATAAGTAAAATATTTTTTTACTTTCTCTAATAGTAAATATTTATTCATCATTTATCAATCAAACTTTCTTGATTTTCAATATTTTCTAAAACCATATATTGCATTCTTTTACTGCAAGTACATTTGTCTCCACAAAAAAAAAGCCAACTAACATGAGATGCCTATCAAAATATTTGGCAAGGAAAGGCAATCGCCTATGGGTTGGGCATGCCGCCCTTTGGTGTCCACTCATGGCCCCCATCCAATTGTCCTATGTGATTTAAATTGGCCTCTAATAATTACGGAGGGTCTTACATATTTTATGAATAATAAAAATTGATATTTATATTTTTCGAACCTTTTAGTTTATTTAAAACTTTAAAAATGAGTTTATGATAAATCCAAATGACAAAAATTAAAATGTTTGAAGATTTATAAAAATTCAAATAAACATTCTAAAAGTCAAATAACATAAAATAAAATAAAATAAATTAATTTTGATAGGAATCAGATCAAAATAGGCCTAGGATTTAATCAACGCGTAGGAGGGGAGGACTCCACCTTCAACTGTTGATCACAATTCACACTAGCTTTCTCAAACTGACACAACAGTTCCCATAACCTACAGTCCACTGCAAGGGCTTATGATTTGATCTCCAAAGTCAATCAATGAGCTAAGGGACGTAATCTCAGTATATGGATTTCAGGTTCTCCCTTAGAGACAAATCATGATACAACCATGACTCTATGGTGCATAGGGGTAATATCTCGTACATGTACACGCTTCACCCTCAATGGTGGTTTACTGTTTTAATACGGTTATTTATGTACATACTGTGTGATGATACAACGATGATGTTTTAGTCGTGTCTCTATAGACTATTCATCACACACAATGGCTATATATTCCCTTGGCTCTCATCTGGACATACTCCAACCTCATCAAGGGCTGACCCACTAAACTCTCATCTGTTTCATCTACTTGGGTTTTCCAACTCGGCTAGCTTAGCCCGTCAAGCATAATTTGAGTATCGGCAAATTGCATTTGCCTAGCATGGTCCATAAGAGGACCACACTCTTACTGAGTTTGTTGTGCTGTATACAATGTTCATACAAGCTCTCATAAGGCCTTTAAATGCCACATAAACCCAACAATTTATACTTATCAAATTTAAAGGTCCTAAAATTGTGCTAAACAAACAGATCTATAAACAATAAAATAGATAACAATAGATAGTTTAGATAATATGTTACAAGATGTAATATTTTCATCACTCAAAATATATTTTTTCCTCGTGTACCTGTCTCTCGCGGTCGAGGCGATCAAATTGAGGGTTTTCCAATGTTATATGAACCTTTTTGTAATGGGTTTTTGAGATGTGTATTGGTTCAACGACATAAGGCTCACAATTTATACAAAATCAGTCCATAAAAAATGTCATTGATATGTTGCATTTTACGCTCGTACACTTCTTAGCATTTTTTTTATTATGTTTTACAAAATATATTTAGTTCATAACTATTGCTCATGTAAAGCTCATTGTAAAGATCCGAAGTAGTTTAGAACTACAGTTGGAAGTAGTCCAGAACTATTAGTTACAATTTACTTATTGCAAGGCATCATAATTGTCCAAAACTATGACTTCGGACGCTTTGATTCCCTTACAGGTAACAACCAAAGCGTCTGTGAACTTTTAGCATCGAACTGCTCACAACAATAGATCAAAGTAACCAAAACCTAAAATATATGTAGATCAAAGTATTTTAAAACTGTTAGTTCCAAACAATGTTATTTGGTATAGTCAAAATCAATCCAGTCAAATTAGTTTGAATAGATTTTAAAAAGAGAAAAGTTTAGATAGAGTTGAGGTTCTATACAATCATATTAGCGCCCACCTCAAAACGAAAAGGTTTTTCTCTCTCAGAGAATTGGGCTCTGGAATCGAACCCGGAATGTGGAGTTGCAATTGTGCACATCGTGACCAACCAAGCGGGCGTCCAAATCCCATTCCATTGCTGGGCCGTCAAGCTACCATCACAACGCATCGAAGCATGAGAAGCGGAGTTTTAATGGATTCATAGCAAAAACTCACCACTAAAATGGCCGCTGTACCAATACCCACCCCTGCGACCCTCTGGAGATGATGTTTCCTATTCTCTCTTATGGCTATTATTGCTCAGAGGAGAACCCTTTCTTTTCCATTTCCTCTTTCCTCATCTCTCGACGCACTCTTCTGCATCATAAAGGCAAGGGCTCGCTCTGTTTCTAGTTTTTTATACTTGTTTTGTACTTTCTCTCTCTTCGTTTTCGCTCAAATGGGTCTTCTCGCAATGTGGGTTTTTGTCCTGACACTGAATATCTGCGTCTATATTTGTTTACACACTCTCTCTCTTATTTCTCAGCCATGTGGGTCTTATACTAATACGGGGTTTGGTTTCAGAGATTGAATCATACGGCAACTAGCACTGGAGAAAACCTCTGTTTCCAAAATGGTAATTTTTTTTTGTTAAGTAAATAATGGTAATGGTAATTCATTGTACTTGTTTTTTACTTGACCATTTTTTCCTTGAAACTTTTAATGGCAAGGGGAGCCAACATGGAAATGCATTGTCAGACCAATGGTTATTTTTGTTGCTTATTTATTTATTTATTTTTGAGAATGAGCATTCTTTCAAAAAATTTCAATTACTACAAGGTTATTTTACTTCATATTGTTTGTAATGATCTCATAATCAAACTTAGCTTTATAAACCTTGATTTCCATAAGGAGCTATAGGAGGGGAGTCAAGGAATACTTTTATCATTGTCGATTTTTGTTATTCGAACCCATGCTTGGTTTAGGCCTTCTCATTTCACTTTGGCTTCCCAGTTGAAATTGCCAGTCCTTTTCAATTAGAACAAATATTAGTGGTACCTTAGTGCCATTTGATTGTACGGTATCGAATTCCTTCAGTTCTTATTCGACGGCCAAATATGTGGGCTGAACACAGGAGCATATTCACAAAATGAACTTTCTTGTACTGATAATGTATGGATTCCAACCTGTTCTAGTAGTACTGCTAATGTCTACGCATATGTAGCACATGTCATGCTGTCTTATGAGTGATGTTGAATGTTAAAGTCTTACCTTTGGTGTGTAACTTGTCCAATTCATGGATCTGGTAGTCAAAGACCCTTGTGATTAATGACTTTGTTTTTTTAGGTTAGTGAGTAACTTGATTACCATTCTCTTTTATAATTTGATGGTAAAAAGGTGAATCGATGTCACTTATTGTATTCTCAGTCATATTGGCAGCAAATGGGAGTAGCAAAGTTGTGAAAGTAATGGGTGATATTAGGAGTAGTTTGGTTAAATATTATCAAGAGTCTTTGGTTTGTGGATCACAAGTTGCTGCTTTTTTATCTTATAACGCCTTCTTGTTTTTGTGTGTGTGTGTCTGTGGTCTTTTTTGGTGGGGGTTGGGGACTGGGAGAGAGGGGTTGTGTGTTTCAATAGATCATTTATTACTTGCACAAGAACATGATTCTTGGTTTGTGGATCACAAGTTGCTGCTATTTGACGGCCAGTCCCAATCCCGGATAAAGGAGGAAGGTTGTGTTAGGTAGAGCAGCTAGCGCAAAACTTCGTCGCATATTTTCATGAATTCTGAATCTATTTTATGAGTAGAATGGTAGAACAAGATTCGTGTGGCCGACCCTAAATAATTGGGATAAGGCTTAGATAATGATGATGAAGTTGCTACTAGATGATCCTTGTTTTGAATTTTTTTTTTCCTGCTGTTTGATCTTAAAAGGCCTTTTATTGCCACGTGGGTGTTTTGTTTGTGTTTTTTTTTTTGGGGGGGAGGGGGGTGTGGGGCAGGTAGGTGAGGGTGCGTGTGTGTTTCAATAGATCATTTGTTATTTGCATAGAAGTACAATGCATGGCATTTCAATTTTCAGCTTTGTAATAAGGACACGTCACATGGTGGAGGGCTTTTGCATAGTATCATATATCCTTTAGTTTGGTATTGTGTTAAACTAATGTCAATTCTAACCATCTTAGCAGCACAAGAACATTCGAGAAACGGAGCCTAAAGTTATAGTTTTTCCATTTCCCCTGAAGCATGGCCTTGGCTCATGAGACTGTTTATAAGATTCATACATGATTATTTCCTTAATTACAAGAAATTACAATTTGTGTAAACAGCCAATTGGTTCTTTTTGAAATGTGATTTAAAATGCCTATCCTGCCGATTATAGTTGGAAATGACTATTACATATATATGGATAAGCTAGCTGATTAATTTTGGGGAATAGCGCTCATGAAATCAATGCCTATCCTGCTGACTATAGTTGGAATGACTACGCAGCTGAACTGAGCATAAGACTTTATTCTGCACTCTTCTTCTCAAAATGTTACAAGTATGCTAAGTTGTAGGTATCGGGCTATATGGCTTAAAGGAAAAAAGGATATCAAGTTCTCTTTGATTGTTCTCTTCTGTTTCATGTTTCACATTATAAGCTAGCAAGTAACCTTTATTTTTAGTATTATTATTATTATTTTTGCATGCCACCGATTATCTAATGATTGTGCTACTTGTATCTTTTGAATAGTAATTATATTTTTCTTTGAATATAGATTGTTTTGATACATCAACATGGAAGGTGGTGGACTCAAGAACTGTTGGGGTCAACAAATGGATGGTTGCATCTCCAGTATGGACTATTATGAAAGTTCTCCAAAGAAAAGGTGCTTCAACTTTTTATTTATTTAAACCATTCTCCAAACTTGGAATCTTTTTGTGTACAATGAGTAGCTTGTGGTGGTTTTTGGTATTTTATCTGGTTTCAGTTACTTGTTTTTTGTTGTTATCTTTCATTTAAAGCATCAAGTTAAACAGTCGGGAATAATTATTGCTATTTGCATGAGATTAGGCTGGCATACTAGAAGTGAGAAGCATATGAGGAATAGGAGTGAGAGAAGTCACAATTTATCCAAGTAATTATAGTGTTTAGTCAAGGGTGTTACACTTGTGCAGAGTAAGGAAGACACATATCCATTTGTTTAATCTCCTCATGGTGTTTGCTACCCATTGAACTATGGTGCCTCTTTTCTTCCACGCCGTGCCAATCCATCCCTATGATAACGAGAAAACAACAGAGGCATAATCCGAGGAACATCAAATAAACTAAACATACATGGCCATCCAATATCATTGTGATTGGTATGAAGCTGGGGTGCCTCATTGTTCTTTACTCCTTGCTACATAAGTTAAGTGTTACCTTTAGCAATACATATCTTTTATAGAGGGCCATCAGTGATCATCATATTGTGCAAGTCTACCTTTAGAATCCAATTCCCTGTGAGGTGGCTTTTTAAGGTGCCTTTTTCCTCCAAAGTCCAAACCTACTTACCAATGAAGGCCCTATTGGTTTTCTCGCGGCTTCATCTATGTTGCTTTGATGAAAAAATGTACCAGGATTTTAGCATGCATACTGCCCATCCTAACCTAAACCTTCTGAATAAGGCTGACTCACACCTTTAGTTTCGCCAATTTCCTTCACGGAAGTTCTTCTTAAGGGCTAGATTTTGGTTTACACCATAGAATTCACCTTATACCATGGATTCAGGACTGGGCCAGCTTGGTTAAACATGTTGACCATTGCAGCAATTCATCCCAAGTTCATATTCGATAATTGATCTGCCAAGAAAATAAATATCAAACTTTAGGATTGAGATTTGAGCTTGATTTGGTAAGGGGTTTATGATTGCAGCATTACATCGAATTGCACTGCCAAACTACCCCTCAATAAAAGAAAAAAAAAAAGAAAAAAAGAAAGAGAGAAAGAGAGAGAAACTGATACCATAGAAATCATCCAGAATAACATTCCTACTCTTTAAACGCTAGAGCATGCACTACACTAGTATTACGGGGAATTGATTTCTTTAGGGCTCACCGCACCACCATTCTAGATAGAAACTCCTCCTTCCTCTATCCCTTGTTACCACTACTGTAATGTTGCTTCTAATAGCCTCTTACCTGCTTCTTGACCTTCCATTCACTTATTAATATCTCCCTTTTGTTGTCAGGGTTTGGAAGACAACATTGGAGTTAGTATTCGCTAGAAATGTTACAATAATAGAAGGGTAGAAAGTTGTTTTCTGTCTCATGCTGGGTATGTTACACTTTTTAATCAACACTAGAGAACCTGCATCTCCACAATATTTTGCTTTTTAGGATTCTGAAAGCAGTAAGCAATAAACTTGATAATCTTTTAGGGAATTCCTTAAAAGGGGGGGCACATGGGAACAATCTCCACCTCGTCCAAATGGAAATGAGTTGTGTTGACCTGGGGATCAATGAGGCCGTGTTCTTCATAACATAAATTTTATGAACAAAGATCTTACTTTATTAAAAAAAAATTGTTGCAGTTTGCTTATTTTGGGGTTGTGTCAAATCCCTCTATGACTGAAATACTGTAGAGATTTACTCATGAGTGAAATACTGTTGAGATTCACTAATGAGTGTTTTTAAGTGTTTTCCAATATCTCTCTCTATATATATATATATATATATATATATCTTCATTATCAATGCCTTTTCCCAACTAATTAGGGTCGGCTACATCAATCCTGGTTCGCCATTATGCTTATTAGGGGTCATACCCTCAGTGACGGCATAAGTCCCCATATCTTTTCTCAGTACTTCCAACCATGTCCTTTTGGGCTTACCCCTTGCCCTTTTCTAGTCTTCCACTTGAACTAACTCACACCTCTTAACAGATGCTGTATTTGGTCTGTGCCACACATGGCCAGCCCACCTATGTCTACTATCTCTTATCACCAATTGGTGCCATACCTAAATTCTCTCTAATGTATTTATTTGGAATTCTATCCCTTCTTGTCTTGTCACTCATCGATCTCAACATCCTCATCTCTGCTACACTCATTCTATAGAAATGTTGTTTATTGACTGTCTGACATTCTACCCCATGAAGTAAAGCTGGTCTCACAGCTGTGCTATAGAACATGTCCTTCAGCTTCATTGGTATGCGGTGATCACGTAAAATTCTGGTTCCACATCTCCACTTCATCCACCTAGCTCTAATTCTATGTACGACATCTTCCTCAATCTCTCCATTTTCCTGGACTATCGACCCAAGATATCGAAACTGTGTTGTTTTTGGTATTTCTTGGTCGTCAATCTTAACTACTTCCTCGTATCTACTCCTATTATTACAAAACTTACATTCCACATACTTTATCTTATTATGGCTAATTTTAAAACCTTTAGATTCTAGAGCATCCCTCCAAAGTTCTAATTTTGTGTTGATCCCATTTCGGTTCTCATCGATCAAAACTATATCATCCGTGAACAATATGCACTACAGTACTTCATCTTGTAGGTGCCTAGTTAAGTCGTCCATAACTATGACAAAGAGGTATGGACTCAATACTGACCCCTGATGTAGACATATTGTCATTGAAAACTCACTCATCTCTCACCAAGTTGTTGTAGTGTTTGGAGATTTTTTTCTTTTCTAACACCCACCAAATCAAGTCTCTAGGTACTCTTATCACACATATATATATATATATATATATATATATATATATATACGAGAGAGAGAGTAGTTATTACTTACGTTTACGTTTATTACTTACTTACTTTAACTTTAGTTAGTACGTACTTACCGTTACGTTTACGTTAACTTGTTACGTACGTAACGGTTAATTAACTT